GCAGCGTCTGGATCAGCTGTCTGATCTACTTTCTATAGTTCTAGTGAGGATGCAGGCAGCAGCGTCTGGATCAGCTGTCTGATCTACTTTCTATAGTTCTAGTGAGGACGCAGGCAGCAGCGTCTGGATCAGCTGTCTGATCTACTTTCTATAGTTCTAGTGAGGACGCAGGCAGCAGCGTCTGGATCAGCTGTCTGATCTACTTTCTATAGTTCTAGTGAGGACGCAGGCAGCAGCGTCTGGATCAGCTGTCTGATCTACTTTCTATAGTTCTAGTGAGGACGCAGGCAGCAGCATCTGGATCAGCTGTCTGATCTACTTTCTATAGTTCTAGTGAGGACGCAGGCAGCAGCGTCTGGATCAGCTGTCTGATCTACTTTAGATCTATTTTCTTCTTTTCTTTCTACAAGCCAAGATTTGATTTCAGAAATGCGCACTGCAAAAATGATCTAGAAATTAGTCGACGTTTTTTAAGTTAATTGTAATTTAAGTAGATAAATACGATCGTTTTCCAATGGAATGAGGATTTCTACTCTTAAAGTCAGATAATTAGATAATAAAATAAGACAAAGTCATTGTTCTTATTTTAAGAAACCGTTTAGTTCTGTTGGCAACGTTTCACGTTTACCTCCTCAGTTAAAAAGATGCACTTATTGAGATTTCGTTTTTCCAGTGTGCTGTTCTGTCTCTCAGCATCCTGTCAGTGAGATGCTTTACGTCTCCGCTCTCCTTCCAGCCAATCACGCGGCTTTATTTCCACATTTAATCAGCTTTTCCTGTGGTTCAGCTAGTGGAGGACCTTTTTGTCCTTCACTAGCTCTTTAAACAAACACCGCCTATCCGTCTGACGAGGATCTTATTAAAGAATGATCGTCATTTTCTCACAGAGAATTAAATACTTAAAAGCAGAGGATTCTACCTCCCTGTGACGGGATATGAGATTTAAGGTTTTATCTTATTTTTCTCATGTTTTTTTCACTCAGGACTGAATAAATACCTTTTATGGGAGGAGCTTCAGTCACAGCAGCGTGGATGATGGCGGAGCGTTTAGTAACGAATGATCAGCTGGAAATGAATGCCGCCATTGGTGCAATAGTTGTGTTTTATAAAGAAGGTCGTGGTTCCTCTCGGTGGAAGCGTGAGAATAAATCCACAGGCTGCCTGGGAACAGTTGTCCTCCACCTGTTCATCTCTGTTTATGTTTAGCAATGTATGGTTGCCAGAGCAACGCCGGCGACTCAGAAGTGATGTAAGGGATATGAAGCAGCTGTTTGTTTGATATGCATGGAAAACAAGGACATCCCTTTACGACATTAAACTCTGACTTTTCCCATCGCTGATGGTCAATAAATTCATTCAATCATTAGTTTTATATTTAATGAATATGATGATGGTCGTTTCTCTTTCAGTACAGCCACACCTCAGCAGATTTAGGAAATTTGGGGCCCTAAGCAAGGACAGGCAGGGGCCCCTCTGAATAAATAGGCAACACATAGAATAGCCCCATTCTACAGATAGAGAAATGTTAATAGAATAGACATCCATGATCTGTTCTAGGTTGTGTCCCTCTCTTCTTGTCCCTTTTCTTCTTGTTTTCCTCTCTATGTTTTGTACTCAGCTGACTTTTCATGCTGTCTCTAAAGGAATGAAAGATTTTTTCCAAGCACTAAGCTCACTTAGCTGATTGCTCCTTCCTGTGTTTCCAAAAAGGCCACAGTAAATAACCCAGTCCTTCTTTTCACTGTAGACAAGCCATATCGTTAGCCCTGGGCGCTGCAGATGGGCTAATGTTAGCCCTGGCCGGGACAACCTTAGCCCTGGCCGCTGCAGAGGGGACAACCTTAGCCCTGGCCGCTGCAGAGGGGACAACCTTAGCCCTGCAGCGGCCAGGGCTAAGGTTGGCCAGTCTAACATTGGCCCCTCTGCAGCGGCCAGGGCTAACGTTAGCCTGTCTGCAGCAGCCAGGGCTAATGTTAGCCTGTCTGCAGCAGCCAGGGCTAACGTTAGCCTGTCTGCAGCAGCCAGGGCTAACGTTGGCCCTGGCCGCTGCAGACTGGCTAACGTTAGCCCTGGCCGCTGCAGATGGGCCAACCTTAGCCCTGGCCGCTGCAGAGGGGCCAACGTTAGCCCTGGCCGCTGCAGAGGGGCCAACGTTAGCCCTGGCCGCTGCAGACGGGCTAACGTTAGCCCTGGCTGCTGCAGACAGGCTAACGTTAGCCCTGGCTGCTGCAGACAGGCTAACGTTAGCCCTGGCTGCTGCAGACAGGCTAACGTTAGCCCTGGCCGCTGCAGAGGGGCCAATGTTAGACTGGCCAACGTTAGCCCTGGCCGCTGCAGACAGGCTAACGTTAGCCCTGGCCACTGCAGATGAGCTAATGTTAGCCCTGGCTGCAGCAGACTGGCTAACGTTAGCCCTGGCCGCTGCAAATGGGCCAACCTTAGCCCTGGCCGCTGCAGAGAGGCCAACGTTAGCCCTGGCCGCTGCAGACTGGCTAACATTAGCCCTGGCCGCTGCAGATGGGCCAACGTTAGCCCTGGCCGCTGCAGACTGGCTAACGTTAGCCCTGGCCGCTGCAGACTGGCTAACATTAGCCCTGGCCGCTGCAGATGGGCCAACCTTAGCCCTGGCCGCTGCAGATGGGCCAACCTTAGCCCTGGCCGCTGCAGAGGGGCCAACGTTAGCCCTGGCCGCTGCAGACGGGCCAACGTTAGCCCTGGCCGCTGCAGATGGGCCAACCTTAGCCCTGGCCGCTGCAGACGGGCCAACGTTAGCCCTGGCCGCTGCAGACGGGCCAACGTTAGCCCTGGCCGCTGCAGACGGGCCAACGTTAGCCCTGGCCGCTGCAGACGGGCCAACGTTAGCCCTGGCCGCTGCAGACGGGCTAACGTTAGCCCTGGCCGCTGCAGACGGGCCAACGTTAGCCCTGGCCGCTGCAGACGGGCCAACGTTAGCCCTGGCCGCTGCAGACGGGCCAACGTTAGCCCTGGCCGCTGCAGACGGGCTAATGTTAGCCCTGGCCGCTGCAGACAGGCTAACGTTAGCCCTGGCCGCTGCAGACAGGCTAACGTTAGCCCTGGCTGCTGCAGACTGGCTAACGTTAGCCCTGGCCGCTGCAGACGGGCCAACGTTAGCCCTGGCCGCTGCAGACTGGCTAACATTAGCCCTGGCCGCTGCAGATGGGCCAACCTTAGCCCTGGCCGCTGCAGATGGGCCAACCTTAGCCCTGGCCGCTGCAGAGGGGCCAACGTTAGCCCTGGCCGCTGCAGACGGGCTAACGTTAGCCCTGGCTGCTGCAGACAGGCTAACGTTAGCCCTGGCTGCTGCAGACAGGCTAACATTAGCCCTGGCTGCTGCAGACTGGCTAACATTAGCCCTGGCTGCTGCAGACTGGCTAACATTAGCCCTGGCTGCTGCAGACTGGCTAACGTTAGCCCTTGCTGCTGCAGACTGGCTAACGTTAGCCCTGGCCGCTGCAGAGGGGCCAATGTTAGACTGGCCAACGTTAGCCCTGGCCGCTGCAGACAGGCTAACGTTAGCCCTGGCCGCTGCAGATGAGCTAATGTTAGCCCTGGCGACAGCAGACTGGCTAACGTTAGCCCTGGCCGCTGCAGATGGGCCAACCTTAGCCCTGGCCGCTGCAGACGGGCCAACGTTAGCCCTGGCCGCTGCAGACTGGCTAACATTAGCCCTGGCCGCTGCAGATGGGCCAACCTTAGCCCTGGCCGCTGCAGACGGGCTAACGTTAGCCCTGGCCGCTGCAGACAGGCTAACATTAGCCCTGGCTGCTGCAGACGGGCTAACGTTAGCCCTGGCCGCCGCAGACGGGCTAACGTTAGCCCTGGCTGCTGTTATCCTCGGAGCTCCGCTGGTTGTCGCGGTCCTCTGAAGATCTGAACTTTTTTTAAATTACGCATTAAATCAGTAAATGTTCCTTATAGTGAAGCTTAAAGTATAATATTCTCGCCTCTAATGATCTTAAAACGTACTTTTATTGAACAACAGCAACGGAAAAGCGAACTTTTAACTTAATCCTCTGAGCTCTGTGAGCGCTAACCTGGAAGCTGCCGCAGTGCATGCTGGGACAGCTGTCAGTCTGGAGGACGGACAAGTCTGCTCTGATGCATGCTGGGTAAAGAGGGAGGTTCTCGGTCTGCTTGTTTTCGTGAATTGGAACAGTTTTAGTGCTGAGGATGATGATGTTTCACGAGGAAACGAGAACGCACAAGTGCACATACTGAGACACGGCTACCATGTCTGATTTATAGCTGATTAAACAAAGAATGATTTTAAAAAATTTGCCTCGCCACATTTATTTTCAAAATAAACGCTGCAAAGCACCATGAAAGCCCATTAGAAACTCTGGATGAACCTCAGACTTCCTAGCATGAGGGTTAGGATAGTATATTATTTCTGCCCATTGGTTGGTTAGCATTTCACTGCAAAACAGACAAAAATATTATAACACATAAATAGATGAGGTAGTTATTACAAAGGCGAATAAATAAAGAAGCTAATTAAAAGAGATATATATGTCTATGTCTCACTGTGTGATTTAAATTCTACCTACTTTTATTTGTATATTGTTTTTTTGGGGGTAATTAATTGTAGCCTTATTTTTTTATGGAGCATTTATTTATTCCTGTATTTGTTTTTAAATATGGTAGAGCTGGTCCTCCGTACAGTTGGGCCCAGATTAGTTAAATTAGTCTCTTTTGAAATTCTATTCATGTATATTATAATGTCTATATGTAGAAATAGTTTTCTCTCCGTTTTTTCCATGAAAAATCCAATATAAATTCGTAAAAACCTTTATTTATATAGAAATGTTAATATACTCTTTTTAGATCAGTTGATATTTCCTATAAGGTTTCCTGCTTGTTAGATGAGTTGATCCGTGGATGATGTCATCTTTAAGGATTTTCTCTGCGTCGTCGCTGCTGTGATTTAATCGTAATGTGGCCGTTGTAATAACACGCCGCTCTCTCTGCGTCTCCTGCAGGTCTGAGGTGAAGCAGAGCAGACCCGGCTCTCCCTGCCAAGGACACAGAATCACATCTGCATTTTTCTGCCTCCGCCATGCAGCTCTCTGCTCACGTCCTCTTCCTGTCAGGCCTGCTTTTCTCTCTAATCCATCACTGCTTCTCCCAAAACAACGGAGACGTTGTTATTACGCATAACGGCGCCGTTCGAGGCGCGCAGTTTCCGGTGCCGGACGGGAGCTACATCACCGCCTTCCTCGGCATCCCCTTCGCCGAGCCGCCTCTGGGCAAGCGGCGCTTCCGGCCCCCTGAGCCCAAGCGCAGATGGACGGGGGTCCTGGAGGCTAACGCCTACCCCAACGCCTGCTTCCAGTATGTGGACACCACGTATCCCGGTTTCCACGGCACCGAGATGTGGAATCCTAACAGAGACATGAGCGAGGACTGCCTGTACCTAAACGTCTGGGTGCCTTCCTCACCCAGACCCCACAACCTCTCAGTGATGGTGTGGATCTACGGTGGAGGTTTGTGCTACAGATGCGCCTTTAACCGTAGAGATAAACACTGTCTAGGAAGATAGTTCTATCCATCATTGACATGAATTTAAAAAAAAAGGCTCAGAATTCATGAAGATATTTAGGCCAGACTAGTAAAACAAAGCTGTATTTATATTAAAACTTTAAAGATTTCTGAAAATCAAATTGTCATAGCAACAACTTTATTAAAGATAACTTTTTTTAAATGTAAAACATCCACAGAATATCTAGATGCACAAAAAATATTAGAATTTTGCTAAGATATATGGTTTATGAATAACTTAGAGTCCACAATATACAAAGTTGTCTGTCTGGTTACCATGCCAACAACGACACAAAGGATTTTGCACCAATAGGAATAGTAGGTTGAGGTCACCTGACTGCGCTGCAAAATGGCTTCTTCTTATCGCTATATTTTCTAAAATATAAAAGAGAAACAAAACCTGGGCCATTTCTCAATATGCGTTCTTGAGCATATCCAACGCTAACGCCAGGCTATCCAACGCTAATGCCAGCCTCACCAATGCTAACGCCAGGCTATCCAACGCTAATACCAGCCTATCCAATGCTAATACCAGCCTATCAATGCTAACACTAGCCTTCCCAACGCGATTGCCAGCCTATCAATGCTAACGCTAGCCTTTCCAATGCTAATGCCAGCCTATCAATGCTAACGCCAGACTATCCAATGCTAATGCCAGCCTATCCAACGCTAACGCTAGCCTATCCAATGCTAATGCCAGCCTATCAATGCTAACGCTAGCCTATCCAACGCTAATGCCAGCCTATCAATGCTAACACCAGCCTATCCAATGCTAATGACAGCCTATCCAATGCTAACGCTATTCTATCCAATGCTAACGCCAGCCTATCCAATGCTAATGCCAGCCTATCCAATGCTAATGCCAGCCTATCCAATGCTAATGCCAGCCTGTCAATGCTAACGCCAGCCTCACCAATGCTAACGCCAGCCTCACCAATGCTAATGCCAGCCTATCCAATGCTAACGCCAGCCTATCAATGCTAACGCCAGCCTCACCAATGCTAACGCCAGCCTCACCAATGCTAACGCCAGCCTCACCAATGCTAATGCCAGCCTCACCAATGCTAATGCCAGCCTATCAATGCTAACGCCAGCCTATCCAATCTAATGCCAGCCTATCCAATGCTAATGCCAGCCTATCAATGCTAATGCCAGCCTCACCAATGCTAACGCCAGCCTATCCAATGCTAACGCCAGCCTATCCAATGCTAATGCCAGCCTATCCAATGCTAATGCCAGCCTATCCAATGCTAATGCCAGCCTATCCAACGCTAAAGCTAGCCTATCCAATGCTAATGCCAGCCTATCCAATGCTAATGCCAGCCTATCAATGCTAATGCCAGCCTCACCAATGCTAACGCCAGCCTATCCAATGCTAATGCCAGCCTATCCAATGCTAATGCCAGCCTATCAATGCTACCGCCAGCCTATCCAAGCTAATGCCAGCCTATCCAATGCTAATGCCAGCCTCACCAATGCTAACGCCAGCCTTTCCAAGCTAATGCCAGCCTATCCAATGCTAATGCCAGCCTATCCAATGCTAATGCCAGCCTATCCAACGCTAAAGCTAGCCTATCCAATGCTAATGCCAGCCTATCAATGCTAACGCTAGCCTATCCAACGCTAATGCCAGCCTATCAATGCTTACACCAGCCTATCCAATGCTAACGCCAGCCTCTCCAATGCTAACGCCAGCCTCTCCAATGCTAATGCCAGCCTATCCAATGCTAAAGCTAGCCTATCCAATGCTAATGCCAGCCTATCCAATGCTAATGCCAGCCTATCAATGCTAATGCCAGCCTCACCAATGCTAACGCCAGCCTATCCAATGCTAATGCCAGCCTATCCAATGCTAATGCCAGCCTATCCAATGCTAATGCCAGCCTATCAATGCTAACGCCAGCCTATCCAAGCTAATGCCAGCCTATCCAATGCTAATGCCAGCCTATCAATGCTAATGCCAGCCTCACCAATGCTAACGCCAGCCTTTCCAAGCTAATGCCAGCCTATCCAATGCTAATGCCAGCCTATCCAATGCTAATGCCAGCCTATCCAACGCTAAAGCTAGCCTATCCAATGCTAATGCCAGCCTATCAATGCTAACGCTAGCCTATCCAACGCTTACACCAGCCTATCCAATGCTAACGCCAGCCTCTCCAATGCTAACGCCAGCCTCTCCAATGCTAATGCCAGCCTATCAATGCTAACGCTAGCCTATCCAACGCTAATGCCAGCCTATCAATGCTTACACCAGCCTATCCAATGCTAATGACAGCCTATCCAATGCTAATGCCAGCCTATCAATGCTAATGCCAGCCTCACCAATGCTAACGCCAGCCTTTCCAAGCTAATGCCAGCCTATCCAATGCTAATGCCAGCCTATCCAATGCTAATGCCAGCCTATCCAACGCTAAAGCTAGCCTATCCAATGCTAATGCCAGCCTATCAATGCTAACGCTAGCCTATCCAACGCTAATGCCAGCCTATCAATGCTTACACCAGCCTATCCAATGCTAACGCCAGCCTCTCCAATGCTAACGCCAGCCTCTCCAATGCTAATGCCAGCCTATCAATGCTAACGCTAGCCTATCCAACGCTAATGCCAGCCTATCAATGCTTACACCAGCCTATCAAATGCTAATGACAGCCTCTCCAATGCTAACGCCAGCTTCTCCAATCCAGTTAGATAACAGCCTTAATTATTTTGGAACTTCTGCAACCATTTTGTTTTCCAGTGCACATGCAGGCTAATTCTTAGCTTTCCTGGCTTTCCCCTGCAGGGTTCTACAGTGGCTCCTCTTCACTGGATGTGTACGACGGTCGTTACCTCGCCCACACTGAGACGGTCATCGTGGTCTCCATGAACTACCGCATCGGGGCCTTCGGTTTCCTGGCCCTTCACGGCTCCTCAGAGGCTCCTGGAAACGTCGGCCTGCTTGACCAGAGGCTGGCGCTTCAGTGGGTGCAAGAAAACATCCATTTTTTTGGTGGAAACCCCAAACAGGTGGTTATTTTTCTCAGATATGTTTATTGTCTCTTCATTGATATTAATGTATTCCCATAGTCGCCCTGATTGGTCCCTTCTTGTATCTGCGTGTAAAACAGGTGACCATTTTCGGTGAGAGCGCCGGTGGTGCTTCGGTCGGATTCCACCTGTTGTCTCCAGACAGCAGACCTTTTTTCACAAGGGCCATCCTTCAAAGCGGAGTCCCCAACTGTCCCTGGGCGTCCGTCAGCCCGGCGGAGGCCAGGAGACGCGCCACGGTTCTGGCAAAGCTTGTTGGCTGCAATGGAGGCAATGACACCGAGCTGGTGGACTGTCTGCGTAATAAAACTCCTCAGGAGCTGATCGACCAAGAATGGCTGGTAAAGCAAACCTCCTATGGTTAAACTTCTTCTCAAAGGTCTAAAAATACTAGGTTTTTTTAGTTGTATTTCAGTAAAATGATTCCTGAAGACGTTTCTTCCAACTAACGCGTCTTGTTTGGGTTTTATGCGAATCTTCCGGACAGGTTCTGCCATGGTCAGCCCTTTTCCGGTTCTCATTCGTACCAGTGGTGGACGGGGAAGTTCTGCCCGACACTCCGGAAGCCATGCTGAACTCCGGCAATTTTAAAGACACCCAGATTCTGCTGGGTGTCAATCAAGACGAGGGCTCCTACTTCCTGCTGTATGGAGCGCCGGGATTCAGCAAGGACAACGAGAGCCTCATTTCCAAAGAGGACTTCCTCGAAGGTGAGCTTTATCCCGAAATCCCACATCTGACCGTCCTGCTCCGCGCCGACTTCCTTGATACTCCAGGGGAGCAAAACATGCGGAAATGAACGCTTGATTTAATCGCACTTTTCTGCCCAAAAATGTATTCTCGTCATGCATCTTTGTAATCTGGATAATTAGGATCCAGTGGTTCCTGGTGTAGTTTCCTCCAGGGGGCGCTATAAACAGAAGCCAATCAAACGTATACTAATTTATCCCACCGGTATATTTATATGCCGTGGCGGCAGGTGGTGACACTTCCTGTCGCCCAGAGCTCTCCTATACTAGCTACTGCGGATGAACAACTTTAAACCAGTCAGTGGGCAAACCGACGAAAAATGAAAAAACGCTTTACTGGTCATCAAAGTTGAAATATTTATCTTGCACATCCAAAAATATATATTATTATATTTAATAAAATTTAGAATTTTAATTTAAAAATAAAATTATAAAAAAAACTTTTTATGTCTTAATGAAGGTCGTTGGGTGGGTCGGGCGGCGCCCTAGCGCCCTCTATTGGTCCGCCGCGCTTCCAAAGTCAGCATGTCTTCATCCAGGCCACCTGAGATAAGAAGTTTGTTTTGAAATTGTCAAATTTCGCTCTATTGGAAGTTGTTGTGACCGGACTTGATTAAAACCTTTAAGCCTCCTGATATAAAATTAACATTTTGATGGAGATGAGAAATCTGCTTCTTGGTTTCTTGTTGAAGTACCAATAGTTTCCATCCAATCATTTAATTAAACGCTTTTAGTTTATCAGGAATATAGAAGCATTATGCTCTATTACGCTTAGAGTTAAAAATAGCTCGGCTCCGTATTTTGACGGTGAAGAATTGAATTGAGAAGAAGTACGTGGACGGTGACGTGCGTAAGATGGTGGTGATTGTGGAACAGCTCTCATTGTTAAACACGACGTACGTGAACGTAGCGGGGCGGAGCGGAGGATGTGGAATCTGGGGGTTACTCGGCTACAAAGATGGAAGACTGGATCAGCTGAAATGTCTCCTGGAGAACTCCAGTGAAAGTAAAGATCTTCTGTTTTTACATTTTAGTAAAAGGAGCCAAATGTAAAACTCCATTACTGTACTTATCTCTGCAGTGGGCGGGGCCAGCATTACTCGCCAGGGCAGCCATTTTTAGAGGTATAATGTCTAATTCTGTTAGAAAAATAAACCCTTCCTTCAGAGGTTAGTGATTTCAGGATGCTACGCCGTGCTATTACCGCTGCCTCCCACAGCCTGGTTAAAGATACGCAGAAGACAGCGACGGGTTTGCTAGCAGCTCAAAGGGTCCACCGTTCCTAAGCCTGGTTTATACTCAGAAACCAGGTCGTCTGCGTGGGTGTCGCCGTTAATGCAGATATGCCCCGCCCCCTCCCACAGACACTCTTATGCACCTCTCCAAACCTGTCCCGCAGACGGGAGGCCTCTGATTGGTTAATTCTACATCGGTTCTACTCTATGCGTATTTCCTGTTTGGTCCCTAATGGCAGAAACTCTGGCTGTAGCTCCGCCCACAGCGCCTGGCTCACCTCGGACTCTATCCCAGACACCGTGCAGGACGCTAGTTTGTAGTTTTGAGCGACGGTCTGTTGGTTTGCACCCGAAGCCAAAACACGCAGTCTTTGGGGAACGCTCACAGGGGAACTGTGTGTCATCCGGCGTTGGATGAGGGGTTGCAGACGGCGAACAAGCTCATCAATAGCTAGTTCCTGATTGTCCCTCTGGCGTTGTGGCGTGGAATGACAGCCCAGACCACGCTTCAATATTGGGCATAAATCAAAAATATCTGCGTCAAACTGTTGACAAGCTAACTGCGACACGCTGCTGCGGGAGGATAACCAGCCCTTTAGATTTACGTTTTTTCTACGACGTCTCTTTAGCTAATCGGACCGTTGGATGTCATGCTTTCAGAAATAGGTGGTCAGATCGGACGACATCAGTTCAAGACACCTTGGAAAAGGTTAAACCCTCAGAGAGGATTACGTCTCAAATATGTGTCTCGCTTTTTTCCATGTTGGCTCCAAGCAAAGTTTCTCAGTGAATCACTTCTGTTGGACGTCTGTTCATAGGAAGGAAATTCTCCTGACCTGCAGCGTGGGTGCCGCAAGGAACGCAAATCACTGCAGACTAATGTCGCCAAAAAACAGAAACACGGGGACTATTGGAGGGAAAAAAAGACCTTTATGCACACAGATAGCAAATTAGAGAACAATGAGAGGCCATCTTGTCTGAAAACAGAACCTAGAGGAAGGAAGTACTGAGGAAAAAAGCAAAGGCCCTTAAATGGAGCCCTGGGGGACCCCATAAGATGGTGGAACAGAATAAATTCCTATCGTGCTAATTTTCCGGAGGTTCTTCCCTTAATGCCGTGTTTTTTCCGTCCTGGTCTTCTCTAACATATTGAAATGACATTAGTTTATTCATTAAAGTTTGAACTGGACTATAAATAAGAGACGTCAAATAAAAACACTTTTCCGGACATTTTGCAACATGAAGAAAAAAATATTGTGGTTCATTGAAACCAAAAACGAAAAGATGAATTTCTTCCGATGGTTTAAATGTTTTTATCTCAGTTTTTTTTTTTTTTTTTTTTTTTTTTTTTTCCAGGAGTGAGACTGAGCGTTCCACATGCTAACGACATCGGCCTGGAGGCTGTGGTGCTGCAATACACCGACTGGATGGACGAGAACAACGGCGTGAAGAACCGAGACGCCATGGACGACATCGTGGGCGATCATAACGTCATTTGCCCGCTGGCCCATTTCGCTCGTTCATATGCGCAACAGCACACGCTAAAGACCAACGCGGGCGTGATGAACGGCCCTGGGAACTCGCAGGGTAAGATCGCCTCGCCACACAGCTAGCATCTGGGAAGCTTCATTGGTTTTATGCTACATGGTTTCAGGGAAAGAAAAGTTGAAGAACATTTGGGTAAAAAATGGAAAAATCTTCTAACGCTACGTTCAGAGCGCAAACAGCAGGAGCAGCTAAAACAGCGCATCCTGCTTCATTTCTGATGCTTTTGGTTTAGTTCTGACGCGCGGCTGAAGCATCTTAGCTGCGGTAGCGGTGGTAAAGTGGGTCTGATGCGCGGTGAGAAAATAAAGAACTGCTTTACTTTTTTTGTTATTTTTTTAAAACACACTTTGAGTTTAATAGTTTTAGACTGAAAAATAAAAGATGCTGGGATTCATTTCAGCTAGCATACAGGCTAATTTAGCTGGTTAGCATCAAGCTAGCAGAGTTTCTTGTTTCTTTCAGTAATTTGAAACGAGCTAAAGTCAGTTTTTACAGTAACTTGTTCATCATAGTAACTGAATTCCTTTTTAAATGAAGTCACCAGAAACAGGAAGTAGTAAAGCTACGTTCAGAGCGCGCGCAGCAGGAGCGGCTAAAACACGCTGCTTCATTTCTGATGCTTGTACCAGTTTAGTTCTGATGCGGCTGAAGCATCTTAGCTGCTTTAGCTGCTCGGTGGTAAAGTGGGTCTGATGCGTGGTGGGCGGAGCTACTCTATCCTTTCTCTGCCTGGAACAATGGCAGCTATATTAGCTGTGATCAGCGGGTAGAAAGTAGTTAGAATCTATGTTGAAGTGAGAAAGTCCTCCTGAAAACATGGTCTGTGCAGTCAGTTCATCCAGATTACCATCCTGCCTTCAAAGATTATCTCTCTGTGGGAGCCGCTCAGACCCCCACATACCGGCGCTGCGCTGTCACTGGGAATCCCCAGCAGCAGCTGCCTCAGGCCCGCTCGCCTCTCCAGGGTTTTCCCCTCCTGTTGGTGGCGGCTGGAAGTAGATGTTAGCGTTTTTCAGGTCTGTGCTACAAACTGCAGGCAGCAGGATAATAAAAGCCAACATATTCTGCCGGCAGGTTTCTACATTTGAAGTTAATTTAGGCGTTAATAAACTGTTTCAGAGGAGTGATCATAGCGCTCTGCATCAGCAGTGCTGCGTCTGACTCCCTGCCAGCTCCCAGATCAGCTTCTCTCATTGGTTGATGAGGCGCGTCCAGCAGATAAAGTTCAATGTTTCCAAATCCAGCAGCTGCTGCTTCTGAAACTCCTCAGATGCTCAGAAGCTTGTGATGCTCTGCTTTAGCTGCTTAAGATGCGCTGGAGGACCTTTTGATGCACCTTAATACGCGTCAATCATTCACTTAGCATGTAAACCAGGAGCTAAAACTGCTGCTTGCGTTCTGAACGTAGCATTAGAGAAGCTGCAGCCGTCATGGCTGCTACAGACGAGCTAACATTGGCCCATCTGCTGCTGCCAGGGCTAACGTTAGCCCTGGCTGCAGCAGATGGACAGACTTTTATAGAACAACAGCAACAGACAAGAGAACTTTGAACTTAATACTCTGAGCTCTGTTAGCGCTCCATTGAAAGGAGACGGAGGAGACTCATCCACGACCTCCGACACTAAACTCTCCTCCTCTTGCGTGTTTCCTCTGTCCATAGCGTTCCTTGACAGCGTCGTTTCTAAGTCACCAATTTAGTGCTACTTGGTCCCAATGGAATTTCCCACTGGGAACCTGCTAGCACTAAGATGCTAACTGGTTAGCAAGACGCTTCCCACAAACCGGCCACAACCAAACTTGCTTGTGACCTTCCACCACAACAATCCCGCCCCCTTGATAATCGACCAATCACATTCACTTTATTCACTCGTGTAAAGTCGGGCACCACTGGGAGAATTCAGAAATGTAGCAGTTGGAACGACCGCTTCCCTACGACTTTAAACACGTTATTTGCTCTTGATAGTCCTTCAATAGATTAGAGAACGTCACACATGAACGGGGCCTCCATCGGGCCCCGAACAGAATGAAATCCGGGGCCCTATTACCATTGCACACCTCCTATAAACTGCTTAATGTCTTTTATTTATTTCAGTATATTTACAGTAAAAGTGTTATTTATAGGATTTGGTAAAAACTGCGACAGAAATGTTCTAAAATAATCTACAATGGAAGAAAAGCAGATAAAACCGATTTAGGAGATAAAATGACAGACATCGTTAAATAAATTTGGGATGATTTTACTCCGGTCCGTCCTCGTCTGCGTGTCCCTCTGGCTCCAGGGTCAATAATTGATTCTTTTGTTTATAACTAATTGTTTTTACATGTTTAACGCAGAGGTGTCCGAAGTATTAATGTTTATTAGAATATAATAAAAAATAGAATAGAAAATCCCTTTACTGTCCCGCAATGGGGAAATTGTGATGTTAGAGCAACAATAGAAGTGTAAATCCAGCTGTTTAAAAACACTTTAATAGAAATTAAAAGGATCAACTTCAGCTTTTTACTCCAGTAAAAGTGTAAAAGTAGCATTTTTAAAACTACTTAAAGTATAAAAGCCAGAAGCTTTACTGCTCTACTCTATTAAAGGAACATTTTTCTACAATTCTGGATGATTCTTAGTTTTATAACTGATGGTAACAGCGTCACATTTAACTTTGCATCATCTTGGGAAACTATTTATTTTGGTATGTGGTGAGCAACAGGTTGGGGCAGCACCGAGTCCAACCACAAAGTAATACATTTTCTGGATGAAACTAATTATTTAGATGGATTTTATTTCTCAAATACCAACAGACCATAAAGAAAATGAGCTTAAATGAAACAAAACTAAAGAGTCTGTTTTTAGGGTGGGAGGAGTAGAAGCAAAAAGTTGTTTAAAATATTATGAAAACTTTCTACTCTAAGGTAATGAAGTATTTCTACCCTGTTAGTTGATGCTTCTTGTTTAAAGATATTTTTAAAGATGAAGATATGATTCAGTTTAAAGAATTTATAATTTTATCATAAAATAGTGTTTTTGTTACTATATCAATGCAGGAATATTTATACATAGAAAAAATTAGCAAACAGTTGATTGTTGTGGGGCCCCTGGTTACCTGGGGCCCCTAACCTTTGTTTGATTGGACCAGCCCTGCTCATGAAATGACTTGCAGCAGTTTGGAGCCATTTTGGGTGTTTATTCTAAAGCTTTGCTCCCGTGCCTCCATAGGAGGGGTGTACCTCTACCTGTTCGATCACAGGGCCTCCAACATAGCCTGGCCGGAGTGGATGGGCGTGATCCACGGCTACGAGATCGAGTTCGTCTTTGGGTTGCCCCTGGAGAAGAGACTCAATTACACCACAGAGGAGAAGAACCTGAGCCGACGCATGATGAAGTACTGGGCCAACTTTGCACGGACCGGGTAGGACATGGCAGACTGAATACGATGAGCTGCTGGGATGGGCGGCGCCCTCATGGGGCGCATCACCGCAGCCGCTACAGAAGATTCAAATGTTTGCATTCAGGCTGCATGTTTCAGTCTGGAGTATCACGGTCAATATAAAACCTTTTTACCACCAGAATAAATTCATCATAATATAAGAATTAAGCCCTAATATTATGAAATAAAACGTTTCAATATTTATCCACCAATCTCCCCCAAACTGAGCCTGAAATCAGTTTAAACTCAGTGAGACGACTGAGCCTCTTCACATTAAAGTAGGCTCCGCCTTTATTCTCCTAATATCGCATTTCTGTCGTAATATTACTTTATTCTCCTAAAGTTATTACAATATTATACAAATTTTTCAACTTTAATCTCATGATGTAATAACTTGATTCTCATAGACTTTATATTATTACCAGTGGCGGCTGGTGAAAAATATTTTTGGTGGAGCTGATATAGCCTAGTGTATCTCTTCAACTAATCCGGAATAAGAATTCAAATAAACAATTGCAAATGAAATACAATTTAACAGTAATGATTTAATTTACTATATAATAACAGTAACAGTGATGATTTGGGTCACTGTGACGGGGTTCTTTGGCCTCCAAGAATCCAGTCTCAGTCGGGTTACCGGTGTTGGTGATTTATTGAGCTCAAAAACTCAAAACAGGGTGCAAAAGAAACTAAACATACAAGATCCTCTGGGCCTCAGCCTCCCTCCAGTTACCAGCAATGTAACAAAGAAACAGAAAACAGAAATGGCCGCTTTTCTTCCCACAGCCCTCATTAAATAGTTTAAGCCCCTCCCCTCAGGCTCTCTTATTTCTGATTTCTTCTCATGAATCAGTCTTGTCCATATATTACCTCCACAAACAATTGATTTACAAAAACAAATAATTTTTACCACTTAATTCTTTTACACAGATTCATTGACTTATTCAATTACACCAAACTGGGTTTGAACCCAGCAAAGACGCAGCCAGACTGAAGATGACAAGTCCCCGTAGCACACACACACACACACACACACACACACACACACACACACACGGCTAACCCCACTGAAATATTAAGTGTGCACCCTCAATATGCCAGCAGGTAACCAGGAACAGCTTGTGTGTTTTAAGTTCATGGAGCTACTGGGCTCAGCGCGAGTGTATTGGTCCTCACAAACACAGTATAACAGGAATGTGTGTGTGGCGCGCAAAGTTAGAGAGGTTGTTTTAAGCGACGAGGTGGATTCGTCACAGTCACAATAACCATGACATGAAATGTTCATATCCTACAACAGGGATGTTCTTCTGGCAAACGGGTAGATAAATAAGGATCTCACCGAATTTGGTGGAAGCTGCATCTCGTTCGTTACATTCGCCATCTTCCCTCTAATTGTCTGCACCTGCGCTTGGGTTCAGAAGCCTGTTAAAGCGCAGTATTTTCAGCGCCCCAAGACCATAAAGTTCTGAGACGCTGATTGGCCATTAAATTCACCTAGCAATAGTACATGATTGACAGATTCTCTGCAAATGTGGGGCTTTCTGATCAACGCCCCCAGAACAGAGACGGTAGGAGTCTGTCTGTGGAAATCCACAAATTAATGACAGTAAGTAGGGAAATGTAGTTTATATAATTTGTTTTGCTTATAGGTACACAGTCTAGAGAGTAAAACTGACATTTATGAGTTAATTTCTAAAAATATATTTTACGTTTCTCTCTTCTTATCAGGGAGGGCGGTGCCCCAGCGCCCCCTATGGGCCGGCCGCCACTGATTATTACCTTATTTTGATAATATGAACATAACTCAGACTCTACTATTCCGACTTTATTCTGATACGGCTTTAATCTCGTAGTTTCACGACTTATCTTATAATGTACAGTTTTATTCTTGTAATGTTGGACTTTGCTGTTATTTTACGCTTTTATTTTGGTAATATTCTGACTTAACTGTTAGGATTTAATGACACGCTCCTGGACTTATTATTATGATGACTTTGTTCCTGTAATAATAGGACTTATCTTTTCTTTTTCCTCCACACTAACCTTAAAATAGCCGGAAGTAGAATTTCTGCTGATGTTTAACTGCATGGAAAATATTTGCTCTGCTTTTATAAATATCTAATCTATAGAAATTTCCCATAAACAGAAGAACCAGGATGAGCGGATCCACGGCTGTTTGGAGCGAAGGCGCCAGCTGCGATTCTCTGTCCCAATGTTAACAGTTTGGTTTTTCTTACCGACTGTTTTCCTGTTTTCTGTCTGTCTCCTCATGTTAGGAATCCTAACGACGGGCTGCTGGACAGTCGAAAACGCTGGCCTCTGTTTACTGTCAACGAGCAGAAACACGTAACCATCAACACAGAACCACTAAAAATCCACAAAGGTTTGCGCAACCAGATGTGTGCCTTCTGGAATCGCTTCCTGCCACGCCTTCTGAACATCACAGGTAAACTCTATTCTCTCTTTCACAGGTAAACGAGAGTTACGTATGTAACTACGGTTCTATGAATCCCAGATGACCGCCAGAGGGCGGTGCTGAAAGCACTGAATGTTCCCTTCGGGCGTGCGCAGTTTGAGTAATTATACCAACAGAGTCACACCTGTGACACCGGATGACCACTCAGAAGCTATATAGCCTGACGTCATCCTTTGCTCTGCTCCTACAGAATCTTCTCACAAAAGCAAGGATTTTGAGTGACAGAGAAGCTCTGGCGGTCATCCGGGATTCATAGAACCGTAGTTACATATGTAACTTTCGTTCTATTTCATCCCTACTGACCTCCACAGGGCGGTGCTGAAAGCACTGAATGACTAATGCCAACGATGTCACAAGGAATCCTGAGCAAATACCTCACTGAGGAGGCCAAGCAGAACCTTGTAAAAGGACCTGACCCAGGGGATGAGGGGCAGCCACATTGACACTGTACCTAACCCTAACCCTTCCAGCTGAACCCCTCTCAAAGCCGCCCAGGAAGCGGTGACACTCCTGGTGGAATGTGCTCCTTTACACCGACTGGCAGGGAGCAGTGACCTGCAGCGTAGGTGTGGCAGATGACACTCACAATCCAATGGAACAGACGCTGTTAAGAAAGAGGACAGCCTAACCATGGAGCATAGGAAAAGCTGGTCCGAGCGTTTTAGATTGGCGGTGGCTGCAATGTATGCCTCCAACGCTCTTACTGGGCACAACAACTCAGGCTCATTCTCATTTGCACCAGACTGAGGCTGAAACCGAGACAGCTGCAATGGCTGGCTACGGTGAAAAGGAGACAACAGCTTAGGCACAAATGCAGTATTAGGCCACAGGGTAACACCAGAGCCATCTGGATTCCACCTGATACACCTAGGGCTGACAGAGAGAGCATGTAGCTCGCTGACCCTCTTAGCTGAGACGATAGCCATCAGGAAAGCAGTCTTGCAGGAAAGCCTCTTGAGTTCTGCTTGTGCCAAAGGCTCGAATGGAGGGTGGCACAGAGCTGTGAGAACCAATGGCAGATCCCAATCTGGGGCTCGTGGAGCCGGCCGCTGGCATAACCTACGAGCACCACGCAGAAAAAGTGAAACCAGTTCATGGCACCCCACTGTACGGTTGTCGACAGATCGGTGAAGACATTAAAATTGCTGCAACATACATTTTAAGGGTCGAAGGAGAGCGGGCCTTATCAAGGAGAGACTGGAGGAACTCCAAGATGGTGGGCACCGAGCAGGAAACCGGGTTCTCAATGTGTGCAGAGCACCACTGAGAAAAGAGGCGCCATCTGTTAGCATACTGCAGCCGAGTGGAGGGCGCCCTAGCACTCAATATGGTGTGTCTCACGGTGTCTGAACAACAAGTCAGCCTCCCAGGGGCCATGCCCACAGCTGGAGACGTTGAGGGTTGGGGTGCCATATCTGTCCTCCCAACTGAGACAGCAGATCCCTCCTTGGTGGAAGACGCTATGGAGTACCGTGACACAGACTCCAAAGCAGTGGGAACCACGGTCGCGCTGGCCAGAACGGAGCTACCAGCAACACTCTGTGGCCCTGCTCGAGAACTCTCCGTAGTGTCGGCCAAATCAGTGAGAGGGGTAGAAAGGCATACAGGAGAACCTGCGGCCATGGATGAGCCAGTGCATCCTGGCCCAGTGCGCCCGCCATCCCGGTTAGGGAATACCATAGAGGGCAATGGGTCGACTCCTCTGTGGCGAACAGATCTACCTCTGCCTACCCAAAGAGGTTCCAGATTATGCTCACTACGTGGCGGTGAAGAGACCACTCTCCCGGAGCAGGTGCCTGGCGGGATAGAGAGTCCCCAACCTGGTTCTGCCGTCCTGGCAGATACGCTGCGCGCAGGGTACACGGACCTGGAAATGCCCATTCCAGGAAATCTCTTGACACCTTTAAGAGACGTGCTGACCTGTGTTGTCCGTCCGAATCAGCACATGCCTTCCCTCTAGGTGGGGCAGAAGGCAGCTGAAGGCCATGTGCACAGCCCGCAGCTCCAGCACATTTAGGTGTTCGGTGTCACACGGCACCTCAGCCCATGAGGCTGGCATCCGTGGTGACCACTTCCCTTCGACACACTACTAGCCCCATTGGAACACTGGACAAAAGGGTCCCGTCTCGCTAAGGAGCTAGGGCATGGAGGCACCTCCTGGTCACCATCAGCCTGCGATGCCTGTGCAGCCTGGTGTCTAGGCGAAAGCTGTTGAGCCATCACTGCAAAGGACGCAGAAGGAGCAGCCCTAAGGGCACGACACGGGTGACTGATGTCAGTTTGCCCAGCATTTGCAACAGATGGACGGGCCATCATGGTAGTGAAGTCCAGATGCATCCCAAGAAAGGTGGTTGTCTGAGATGGAACCAGACTGCTCTTTGCCAAATTGACTTTGAGGCATAACAGTGACACCTGAAGTAGAAGCTGGGACGTATCCCGAGAGGCAGCTACCCGAGAGGGAGCACAAAGAAGCCAATCGTCCAGGTATGGCAGAATCCTGACTCCCGGAGGCGTGCAGAGGAGAGAGGGCCACTTTCACGCATCGAATAAACACCCTCGAGGAAAGGGAGAGCCCGAATGGGAGCATCCGGAATTGCCACTCGCGCCCCCGAGTCTTACGTGCCTGAGCAGTCCGTTCCAGCGCTTCCAAGGCAGCTGATCCAAACAGCTCCCCTGGTACAACCGGGACACCCTTGAGGGCCCTACGGCATGCTTCAGTCAGAGGAGACTGTGCCAACCAGACCTGTCTACGAGCTTGGACCAGGAAAGACATGACCCGTCCAAGCTCTCTGGTGATCAGCGCGAAGGCCTGCAGCGCTGCGTCACTAAAATCAAATGCTGCACTTGCACCACCAGAGTCCTGAACAGATGCAGAGAGGGCAAACATGAGGTGCGTCAGGGAATTGCCAAGGCGGCCAGCATGCGCTCCTGCATTGTACGCCATACAGAAGAGGTCATCGGTAACCCGACATTGAGTCCGCGGGCACTGGACATCAGAACGCAGGGCTTCATCTGGTGACACAATCAGTGAAGCAACAGCGGGTTCAATTGCTGGCATACGGTCCAGGCCGGCCTTCAACGACTCATGCATGGCAGCTAACGCGCGACCATCTGACGAAAGATTCAATTCAATTCAGTTTATTTATATAGCGCCAAATTCACAACACATGTCATCTCAAGGCACTTCACAGTTCAACCAGATCATACAGTCAAATTGATACAAAGTTTTCTGTCATCTGAAAGATGCGACAACGCTCTCGGTTCCTGCCAACCGGCGTGTAACTCCTTCAGGTACTCCTCTGATGGAGGTACAGAAAAGGGAGTAGGAGCCCTTCCACGTCTGAAAAAAGCACTCCCGGAGCTGGATACCTGGATACCAGCTGCAGCTGCTTCAGGGCCATAGACATGACCTCCTGCATGGAACCGTCACCGGTCTCTCCAACCGCACTCTGAGATGAAAATGAACTAGCCTCAGAGGCCTGAGAGGACCCTGCCTCCTCCTCATCTCTTAAATGAGAAGCGGAAGCAGCCAGAGATATGACGTCATCCTCTACAACCAGCTCGGGCATTGGTGGGGAAGAGAGCCCAACCACTGGGAGCGAGGCATCAGATTGACGTGTCTGCAACAAGGACTTCATCTCTGCCAGCTCTGCTGACAGCTGCTCCACCCTTGTGGACAGGCCCTGGTCAGGTTTAGCCCGCTTCACCAGCAAACAAACTAATTTACCTTCCGTAATCCTCAGATTCGACCCGTTGCAGCCCTGGGAGGGCGGAGAATAACCGCAACTCCAGTCAAGAGACAGGGGCTTTAAACAACGGGGAAGCTAGCGAACCACTTGGGAGAAGAAAAAAGGAGCAGAGCAAAGGATGACGCCAGGCTATATAGCTTCTGAGTGGTCATCCGGTGTCACAGGTTTGACTCTGTTGGTATAATTACTCGAACTGCACGCCCGAAGGGAACATTCAGTGCTTTCAGCACCGCCCTCTGGCGGTCAGTAGGGATGACATAGAACTCTATTCTCTGTTTCAGTTCGACAGACGAGCCGCTTCATGGATGTCTTGCTGTCATTTTCTCTATTAAATCGTATCTGAAAAGTTGTTGATTTGGAAACAAACTTGGTTTCTTTTTGCCATCAAGTCATTCAAGCGGGTCTGTTATGATAGAAATCTGAAATCATGTTTGATCGTCATTATAACCCGTCATGGTGTTGACTAGCAAAGCAGAGGCTAAAGCACCTGTCACACCTTGCTGATTTATCCAGCGTCTGCCTGACGTCCCAGAATCTCCTAAAACGCTGAAATTTTTATGTATGTTTTTAATTTTAGGCGTATACATAGAGTATTTATAACGAGTCCAGAGATTCTGTCCAACAACAGCCTAACTTCTGCATAAAGTACGGCAGCGTAATGCCCAGGAAAAGATGTACGGTGTCCTGAGGGGGGCAGCGGTGAGCCCAGAGGCGCCTGGTCTGCATAAAGGACAGAGGGAGAGGCTTATGATCGTCTCGCTCAGGAGGACAGAGATCGATGCTTCTATGTCGCCAAACTCTCCATTTACACAGAAATAATGTCGCTAGATTTGGCGCTAGGTGCTTTTTTGAAATAAAGGCGCTAGATTTAGCAATAAAAGCGCTAAGTTGGTAAAACTGATATACGCTAAAGCTAATAAAAATATGTTTTTTATTATAAAATATTCTTCCAAATAATCAAAAATATTTGGTTTAACTGCCCTCCAAAGAATTGAAGGTCCATAAAAAGTTTATTTAAAAGATAATACTTTCTTCATAAATGAAAGTTCTCTAAAGTTTTGTATTCTTTGGGTCAATTTGGCACATTTAGAGATTTTTGAGACGCTGGTTACACTAAAGGTTCAAAGCTCCACAGCTCTGGAACTGCTGCAGCTGGGGGTCTGAAATATTCTGAGGTTGTGGTTGACATGATGTAATTCTATTCACTCTATTTCTATAGCTCCAATTCACATCATGTCATCTCAGGTCACTTTCCAGTTCACCAGATCATCCAGTCAGATTGATTTAAAGTTTTCTATCTAAGGAAAACCAGCTGATTGCATCGACTCATTGACTCTTCAGCAATCCCTCACACTAAGCATGCTTGTAGCGACAGTGGAGAGGAAAAACTCACTTTGAACAGGAAGAAACCTCCAGCAGAACCAGGCTCAGTGTGAGCGGCCATCTGCCGTCTGCATATTCTCAAGCATGTCTTTAATACTGCAGATAAAAAAACAACTTTATTTTTTTATATTATTTTAGAGAAGAAGAAAAAAAAACAGATTTTGAGTCATGTTTGAACTGATCCAGCTTAGGCTGTGTTTTACTCTCCCTATTTCCATTTGGTTACGCAAAATAGGCGAGAATTACCCAAAATTCGGTGAGCTTTAAGAGTTTCTAGAAGGAGGAATTGTTTTTTTTTTAGTGAATCGTTTTACTTTCCATGTGAAGCTGTTTCATTATACTTTTAGCTGATCTGCTTGGTGAAATATAACCAGAGGTGATTTTGAAATCCCGGAGCGGCTGCAGCCTGACGGAGCTGAACCTCCTCCTCCGTCCAGGTTTTTAAGGCGCAGCAGGTGAACTGCAGCGACGCTCTGACCCGCTCTGTGTTCTTCTCCTCCCGCCAGGTAACATCGACGAGGCGGAGCGTCAGTGGAAGATGGAGTTCCACCGCTGGTCGTCCTACATGATGCACTGGAAGAGTCAGTTTGACCACTACAGCAAGCAGGAGCGCTGCACCGAGCTCTGAGAGAGAAACCAGGAGAAAGTGTTTTTATTTTCTGCCATACCTCGCTGATAACTGACTGTCCGTGTTTCCGTTTTCACCGCACACCGACTCCAACTCTGTTTATTTATATTATTTATATAATTTATGATATTTATTGAGGTGTTGTTTCACTGAATGTGGATTTGTGTCTGTAGAAACGCGTCGCTGCAGCGTTTGCGCTTGCATGGCTTTGAGCCCACGGTTTGACCAGGGGGAGGGTTTCTCCTCATTAGACCCTAACCTCCTTCATTTCCGCTTCTTTCAGCGTTTCCAGCGTAGCAGCCATAGCAGCGTTACATCACAGCATTTCAGCCGCTCTCTCCTCTCCTCCATCGCTGCCCTTTTGTCCTCCGCCTCATCCTTCTCCTGTTCCCCCTCTCTAACCTCCACCCACCTTCTCTTTTATTTCTCTTCCTTTTGCTGCTCACTCTTTCCTCCATCATAAATCTCCTTTTCTTCCCTCGTCAGCCTCCTCTCTCCCATCCCTCTTTTTTTCTACTGACTCATCCTGTCTGATCCGTCCTTCTTTCCTCGTCCTTCCAGTTTTTTCCGTCTCCATCTCCCTCCTTTCTTGTTAGTGTAATGGAGGCCGAGTAATTCACTCAGCAGAAAGCTAATGTGACAGAGTGCTAGCTCAGCCTCTGGCCTGCCAGCCTGCGGGACTTGATGGATTGATGGCAAATGGAAGAGAGATGAGGGGAGGGACAAAGGGGCTTAGCGGAGAGGAGAAAAGCGTTGCATAATCTTCCTGAATGTCGTCGGCATCATTTTTCCCGAGGCTCTAAAGATGTGAGTGGAATTAGCTGCACCTTCCCAGCCAGAAGAATCCGTCCCTTAAAAGCCAAAAACAGACGCTGACCTCTTCTTTCTCTTCGTTTTTCTTCTTATTTCTCATATTTAAAATTGCTTCTGGGCCCCCTGGTGGCCAGAGCCCGTCACTGTACCCATCTTTACATTAATTCCAACTTTTATAAGCTGTAAAAAAGCTGCTGTGTTAAAGTCGGTGATGTTAAGACATAATATTCACTACGTAATGTGTTTACCTCTAATGCTGGCTTTCCACACGTCATTAAAAATCATTAAAAGTCATGACATTTTTTTTTTATTGGCATTAAAATTAATTAAATTTAATTATTGTAGCATTTAAAACGCTTTATTTAAAATGCTTTATTTAAAAAAGAATTTTCTAACAAAATTTTGCATATATATTATATCACGATATATTTGCGCGGAACTGCTTCTGGTTATTCGTAAAGTCGTGTGTGTATGTATATATATATACACATGAGTCATAGGTATCTGTTGGTGGCATTACAATTATTTCTAAAGGCATTAAAAAGGATTTAATTAACGTTACTTCTTCCTGTATAAACCCAGAGATTAAGAATAAAGTCAAATAGAAATAATTATTTTTAAAAAGCTAATTTTTAGTGAATCCTGTGAAAAGCTGATAAAATAGTTTTCTGTTGTTTTTTTTCTTGCCTCTAATTTGTGTTTTTAACAAACATAGATATTAATGTTAGAAAAATGAGCCGCATATCTGCTAAGTTTGATGTGAACTAACATCCATTTAGTTTCCATAAACTCCGCTGTAGGTACCAGATCTGCTCGGGCCCCGCCCCTTTCTTATGATGTCATCATACGGCAACTCCACTCGGACAAACTGTGTTGCGCCCGTTTCTTATTCCACTTATTTTTATTCTTTTTATTAAGATCTGAGGGCAGAGGAGGACGGATGGAACATCCTAAAAATGACTTTTATAGAGTTTTTAGACAAATAAAATGTATTCTATTTGTAGAAAACAAACGGTTGTTTGCTAACTGAGCGAGCTAAAAGAAGCTAACCTGTTAGCTACAGCGCTACCCAGCTCTCCCCCTTTATATCATGGTCTAAAACCACCGTATGACCAAAAGGGGAGAGTTGGGTACCCGCCTCCAGGCCGCCCGCCTCCACGCACCTGGAGGCGGGCGGCCTGGACAGCACGCTTTGGTGCACGGTCAGGCACGGCCTGGGTCGGTCAGGCGGCTCCCAGAGGGGGAAGGGAGACTGGATTCCGAAGCTTCTACCGCCCCGGGAACCCGCAACAGAAGGATGTCGGGGAGCCCCTCCGGGGAGGGGACCCGGTGCCCTTTTTCCGTCCGATTTTTTTCAGTTTTGTTATCAATCAGGTAAATCTTCATCGGTCATTAGACACGCTAACGCTACAGATGCTCCTCACTCGACACACCGACGCTGTGTGATTTTATTATCGTTGTCTAGGCAACCACAGTGTTTTCCATCATGCGGACACGCTCAGCCAATCATGTAGCCTAACGTCGCTGGCATGAAGCAGATCTGGTCCCTTCAGCGCTTCTTTCACCTCATTCCATGAATCGAACCAAACGGAAAAGTCTGCTTGCTTCCGTGTTTTTTCTGTTTGTGAGGAGAACGACCGCCGACGAACGAGCTGTTTACCAGGAAACGGAGACGCAGGAGAGTTGGGTTTGTTTTCCAGAAGGTTCCCTCTCTCTGCGTGAGACGTTCCTCTCTTCCAAACCGAATCCCGACTCAACAAACACATGAAGCTCAGACTCCAGTCGCCGGCATGAAGAAGAAAAAAAAAGATTGTACCTTGCCTCTGCTGCAGGGACTGCATGTGTTAGAGGCCGAAGGAGCGACGCAGTCCGCCACTCGTATTTAAACTCTGCTTGCTAACCTCCCATCGTCCCATCAAGCTGTGCTGCATGTTCTGGATTTCATTCTCCTCCTTTGGACTCTTCACCAAACTCCTACACAGCTCTGCCATTCAAGCATATACTGTTTGCTATGTTTGATGTTAGCAATAACATGAATAGGTCAGTAAATCAATATATTTGATATTTAAATGCAGTGAAACTAACCAGATGAAGCTGTATTAAGAATGGGTATGTTGTGTTTTTAAAGCAATATTATTGTAAACAAAGTGCCATAAACGTTTCTCCCTGTTCCTGAAGCTTCATAGTATGTTGCTGTGTAACATCGATGCTGATGTGATTAATCTATTGCTCCAAAAAATAAAAGACACCCTGCAGCATGTGTCCATTCAACACTTTCACCGAGTCGCAGCTTTGTTTACTCCTTCAACCTGCTGGTGGAGATTCTCATCCAGGTCAGAGTCAATCTGAAAAAGTTAAAAAAACAATCGACTTTGATTCCAAGTTTGAAGATCTTAATGATCTTAAAGTTGTAGGGAAATCATATTTAAATGTCAAATCATTCTGGCCTAAAAATGTGTCGAAATGTTCTCTTTATCAGACCATATTGTCCCAAAAGTTAGAAAATTTCTATTTAAAAATAAATCCTGTCTTAAAATCTGGTCTTATTTCTACATCAGCCTGAACACCTAAATTCGGCCAATCATAGATCAACGGTCATCTGTCAATCAAATGTTTTCGGTCATAGCATCTTGATTCATGTGTCGCAGCTAATATACGCAACGGTTGAAACCAGAATCCCTTCCTTTCCCATTGAGTTGCGTCCCAGTGTTCACGGGGATGGACGTCTGTGTCTTCAGCAGGCGTAGAGCTAACAGAACCGGCAGCGTTGCGAGGCAAGGGCTCAAACATGTACGGCTGGAAGCCTTCTACACCAAACCAAGCTTCTGCCGCCCTGGCGTCCTCTTCCACAACATCTTCGTCCCCGCTTTCCTCCTCTAAATAAAAAATGGATGACGGAGGAGACTCATCCACGACCTCCGACACTAAACTCTCCTCCTCTTGCATGTTTCCGCTGTCCATAGCGTTCCTTGACAGCGTCGTTTCTAAGGCACCAATTTAGTGCTACTTGGTCCCAATGGAATTTCCCATTGGGAACCTGCTAGCACTAAGATGCTAACTGGTTAGCAAGATGCTTCCCACAAACCTGCCACAACCAAACCTGCCTGTGAACCTTCCTCCACAACAATCCCGCCCCCTTGATAATCGACCAATCACATTCACTTTATTCACCGGTGTAAAGTCGGGCACCACTGGGAGAATTCAGAAATGTAACGGTTGGAACAGCCGCTTCTCTACGACTTTAAAGGAAATCTCTTTAACCTTGTTTACTAGTAAAGATTTATTGGGTAGAAACCACGTTTTATTCCAGCATACTTCTGAGACCAGCCTAGACTGGAATTACTTCAGGAACTGAGATGCAGTTTGCTTGGAATAAAGTGTGAATATAGATTTGGATTTAAAAAACTCAGCCTACCTACATGAGTATCAGTTGGATCAGGTGGAGGTCTTTTTTTTTTATTCCTTTATTTAACCAGGAAAAGTCCCATTGAGATTAACAATCTCCTTTTCAAGGGAGTCCTGGCCAAAACAGCAAAAGATTACATTACAAATTACATTACAGTTTACAATTACCTCTATCTATAATTAGAAATTCATAAAACAGTTACAAACCATAGATCTCATTTCCAAACCTTTGAGCAATCCTTTAAAATGTCCGATTGGAATCAAATCCTTCAACTTCCAGTCTTTCTGAAGATTGTTCCATGCTGTGGGGGCAGAGTGCTGAAAAGCTGTCTTTCCAGCTTCAGTGCGGATGCTAGATACAGACAGAAGCAAAGACTCTTGAGAACGTAGAGAATACAGTCCAGCCGCTCTTGGTTGAATGTACTCAACTTTAAAAAAACTCAGCCTACCTACATGAGTATCAGTTGGATCAGGTGGAGGTCTTGGACAGTGGCGCCTCCAGAAATGTTCCATAGGGGGGCAGATGGGGCTACTAAAAATCTTGGGGAGGCCACTGAAACTAAAAGCCATCATTTCAGGGTTTGAATCGACTATAGTGTTAAACCTGCCTGTAGAAATCAGAAATACTTTAGGAAACACCTCCTCAGATCCTGGTTTATTGTGGGATTTTAAAAGTTATGTCACTTGCTGTGCAGAATGGGAGGAAAGGCTAAATTGCAATTTACACTGGCCACTGAGGTGGGCAGGGCATTGCCCCCTAGTGGCACCAATGGTCTTGGGTTTTCAGAAAACAGAGAAGACTGATCTTTAAGTAACGCCAGTGGAGATTCTCAGTCATCCAGGTCAGAGTCATTCCAAATAAAGTTAAAATCAATCCTCTGGACTTTGTTTCCAAGTTTGAAGACGTTTCTCTTCCATCCAGGAAGATTTTTCAATCCAAAATGTCAGAAATAGCGTTTAGTTCCAGGTTTTATCCAGCAGCCCAACAAAGCCTGGTTTTAGTTTAGAAAACATGCAAATAGAAACGGATGAACGGGTCCCCCCCTTTGGAATGGGGGTGGTTTGGCTTCTTTGTTAGCCTGCAATGCCCCATACCTGTCTATGCCTCTGAAAGGGGGGGTGTTGAAGGGAATTTTGTTTTTCTTAATGGTTCTTTCTAATATTTCTATAATATTGGAAAAAAAAAAAACTGGTTAACAGGTGAGTAGCTCAAACTGATCCAACAGATTATTAAGGCCAGGCTAGAGGTTTTATTTATTTATTTATTTAATATGAGAAAAAAGTCATTATGAGAATAATGTAACATAATATATATTATAAAGTCATAATATTATAAGAATAAATTAGCAACATTATCAGAATAAAGTCACATGATTCATATGTTTGTGTTTTAACTTTGTTCTGTCCGGCTCGGAACAAAAGGAACCAGTTTTTGAGGCGCAGAGATGGTTTTGGTTTCACAAAATGTTTATTTAAGACAACTGCAGTGAACTAAGACAGGAACCTCTGCAGGAGGAGACCACAGGTTAGTGACCCCGTCTGTCTGCTAGAGGATGATGATGAACATGTGAGTCACTAACCTGGTCTTAAAGGGAAGGCAGGATAATCCAATGGGTGAAGCCAAAGCCGGAGTCAAAAACATGCTGACTAGTTTGAGCCAAGAGATCAAAGAGGTACTGAGGGGTAATCCAGGACGGTGTCAGGAATTAATTCCAGGTTTGGCACACGGTCAGAATTTAGCAGGAGTCCGAAGACGGGTCAGGCAAACGGATCAGAACGAGAACAGGCAGGCGCAGAGGTCCAGAGGCGGAACGGGTCAGGGAATCAGAAACACTCTGGTACGCCAGAGAAACTCTCACCACAGGCTTAAATAATTTAGCACTGATGCCTGGAAGAAGGCTGGTTAAATATAGGCTGAAACAAGTGACCAGTCATCAGCTCTAAGATCATGACATATTCTTATAATATTATGACTTTATCACAATCAGACATACTTTAATAATCCCAGAGGGGAATTATTGTCTGATAATTGTGCAACATTATTCTCATATTATTATGACTTTATTCTGATAAAGTTGTGACTTTATTCTTGTAATATTATGACTTTATTCTTGTATTATAAACATAATAATCTCTAGCCTGGCCCTAATTCTCTGTCATAATCTGCCCAGAATTTTAATTTTAAGAATGAAAACTTTTTAGATCCTCTGTTTTGGCACTTTTCCAAAGGTCCAGGCTATTATTTTGAAGGAACCAACAGGAAGTTCTGTTTCTTCTTCTTCGCTCCTTAAACTGCTGATGAGTTTCTTAAAGATTCCTCCAAGTTTCTGAAGTTTTTGGGAGGAACATTAAACGGAGCAGAGAGCGGAGGACAGAGGCTGGACAGGCGGACGCGCTGCTCCTGGACGTCTGGCTTCGTTCGAAGGAGGAAAGAGAAGAAGAAAAAAAGCGAAGACAAGAGAAAACGAGACAGAAGGAGGAGCCGAAGAAGAAGAAGATGAGCTAACTCCCAGAAAAACTCCAGAAAATCCCGCTTTTCCTTCTTTTTTCTGCTTTTAATCGCTTTTATTTCCCTTTAAGCGAAGCGGGTCGCTTTCTAACCGCTGCTGCATCTTTTTGTTGGTAAGTTTAGAAAGCAGATTTGCCCCGAAAAGCACAAAGAAGCTCCAGCTTCCTGCTGTTTCAAACTTAGTAACGGTGAGGCGGTTCAATGCGGGCGCCGCGGGTTCGATTCCCGGTCAGGCAGAAAGGATTCACCAATAAGTTACTCTGATGGCAGAAAAAAAGGAATTTAATTAATAAAAAATATATTTATTCCTTTAATGAATCACGAAGCTGCAAAAACCCAGAACTATGCCGTTCATCGATAAATCTAGATCTGCAACTAACCATTATTTTACAAATCGATTCATCTGTTTTTATTTTTTCAGTTAATTGATTAATAATCGGATAGAAAAAGTTTCCTTAATGTAGAATTTTAATGAAATGAAACCAGGTGAAACTAAAACTTTTCCAGTTGAGGAGTTCTGGATTATAGAGCAGATTGACAGATGAAAAAGTTTGTTTTTTTTATTTTAAATGCCAAATGTTTAGTTATAAATTAATTATGTTTTACAGTCTCTATATGATTAATCAATTACTTAATTAGTAGAGGATAATTACAATAATTGATTCATCTGATTGTTTTAGTTCTATAGAAATCCCAAACTGCTGAAATAAAAGCAGCCCAGTCTGAAGTATCTAAACTGCTCTGGATTTTATTGTATTTAAAAGTTTATTTGATAGAAAATAAGAAATCATTGTTATAATAACCAGAGCTGTGTTCTTAGGCCATCAAGCTAATTGCTAATTACTAAAAAAAAAAGATCCATCATACGGGCAGATCATCTATAAACTGGAAATAAAAGCTGTAATTGAAATGTGCTCCAGATGATTAATTAGCTCTATTATGTTTTTCATAGATCAGATCAAACCTTTAATAAAGTCTAGATTGGGGTTTATAGAATGAGTTATCAGTGGGAATAAAATAATTTAAGCATCAAGTCATAATTAACATTTCAGATTTCTAAAATATCGTCCTTTCAATCTAAAACTGAGGATCTCTATAATAGATACTTTTAGTCATAATGTGAATTTCTGTTATGAAAATTAATATAAAATTCTAGATATCCAGAAATCCAATTCTTGACATCGAAGACATATTTCTTCTTGTAGAAATGCCATTATAGATATCAGCTACTTACTTAATGACTAGTTCAATTAGAATTTCAGAAATCCATAAAAGGGGCTAGTATTCTTCCTATCTAGAATGAACATTTCTGTCCTGTTCATTTTGATGAAGAAGAAATCCATCTCTAGATGACACATTCAGTCAAGCTAATAAATGTCAAAACGGCCTGCCATAGGCGAGCATTAACGTTGTTGAGCGCATTAGAGGCGAGAACGTGTGAATTTAAACGCTAAACATTGTTCTTAACGTACGATCAAGTCGTCAGCTTCGTTCCAGATCATCAGACTTAGATGCTTCTGAACACCAGAAACCTTCTCTAGGTGTCCTATAACCCAGTGGAGGCCACACCTGCAGACAGAGCCACACCTTTAGACGCCAATCCAAACATTCAGCCTGACATCATCATGGGGGCGGGGCTTCGATGGCTCCAGATGTGGTGACTGAATGTTAACCCGCTGTGTTCCAGATGGAAGGAGAAAAGGAGAAGCAGTGGGAGCAGCGGGAAGAGAAGGACAGCAACGAGGCAGAGGACGATACGAGGAGCGATGAGGAAGGCCAGGATGGCGGCTCTGAGGCGGGCAGTCCCTTCATGCACTGGGAGGCTCTGAGCCTCTGCATCGCTGAACTGGAGAAGCAGGAGGAGGAGAAAAAAGCAAAGGTGAGGAGATGTTTGCTTCAACTCCTGCAACGATCCTGGACTGAAACCTTTTCATTACGATCCATCGTAAAATAAATCAGTGCTGCAGTCTGTGGCCGTTTCTCACTATGTGGTGAAACGCCATCATCCTCAGCCCCTGTGCTGTTCCAGTTCACTAGAACAGCAGACCGAGAACAAAGTCCCCGGATGTTGATCTGGCCCCTCCCTCTTTACCCAGCATGCATCAGAGCAGACGTGTCCGTCCTCCAGACTGACAGCTGTCCCAGCATGCACTGCAGCAGCAGCAGCTTCCAGGTTAGCGCTCACAGAGCTCGGAGGATTAAGTTAAAAGTTCTCTTTTCTGTTGCTGTTATTACATAAAAGTACATTTTAAGATCATTAGAGGCGAGAATATTATACTTTAATCTTCACTATAAGGAACATTTACTGATTTAATGCGTCATTTAAAAAGGTTATTATGTTGAGAGGACCGCGGCGACCAGCGGAGCTCCGAGGCTAATCTCAGCCAGGGCTAACTTTAGCCCGTCTGCAGCGGCCATGGCTAACTTTAGCCCGTCTGCAGCAGCCAGGGCTAACGTCACAATTATTTTTCAATTCGATTAATCTGTTAATTATCTTTTGATTAATTGATTAATAATCAGAGGCCACAGATCAGCGGATCAGGGTCCGGATCCGGACCTAAGCTGAAACAACATTTATAAATTGCTGCATGTTGCCTGGCGACAGTGTCTAACTTATAATAGAATATTTATTCTCTGAATGTTATGACTTTATTCTCATATTTTAAAAACCTTCTATCCTGGCCCTAAAACTCAGAGTCACAGCTCAATGATTTTTCTATTTACAATTTTACTCAAAGACGAGAAGAAATGCAATATATAGATCTAGTAGAGTAGAGAATAGATTCAGAATAGTTAGATACATGAAAATAGATTAAAAAAAACTAAAAAAAAAAACTATTCCTGCGTATCATCTGCTCAGCCTAACGACTCTCTGTGTGGCTGAGAATTCAGGACGGATCGGCAGCATGGGGGGGGGTTACACTCTTGTTTTCATATTATTTATCTATATAATCATTGTTAATATTATTATTATGGAACAAACCAGCTCAATTGTAGTTCCCACAGCTGTCCAGCAGATGGAGCCATTCTAAACTATTAAACTGTAGAAAAGAAAAGATCATTGAACTTTATCGTCCATTAATGGAGAAATTCCCTCTCTGCATTTAACCCCTCCCCTTGGGGAGCAGTGGGCTGCCATTGTGCGCCGCTTGGGGAGCAGTGTGGGGTTAAGGGTCTTGCTCAGGGACCCAGAGTGGAGGCTGTGTGAATCAAAACTACTAGACCAACACTCACCTGTAGATCAGTTGTTGCTTATTGTGTAGAATTGGTTCACAGGTTGAAAATATCATCATTTAATGCAAATACCAGTGAGGCTCTGCATTAGAATGGACAGTGGCGCCCTCTACTGGACGATGGTAACATTACAACACAGAAAACTTCCTTTTCCAAGCAAACGGTAACATTAATCCGATAAAATGTCTATAAATTTAATAAACTATTAATGAGAAAAATCATAAGTTTATTTTCTTTCAGGTGGAAACCTTAGAGAACTGTAAATGTTTTTAAACTTTAAAAAATACCTGAATGTAGAATACAATAAATAAAAATAAAAACGTTTTTGTGCGTAAACAGCATAAATCAATACATGAAATAAGAGAAATCTTAATTTTCCAACAAAAGTTTTCATCTTTCAAGTGCAAATTATCTGATTATCTTATTTTAAGAGTAAAAATAATCATTACATTGGCAGATAATCTCATTTACCTGCTCCAATAAAGGGGAAATACACTTAATTTAAGACATTTTTATTTATTTCTAGATTGTTTTTGCAGTGCAAAGATGAAAAAAGAGCAGTATCTCTTGATTTTGTTTCCACACAAAGATTTTCAATTGATAAACAGAATCTCCAATTAAATCAAATTCTCTTCTTTTCTTGTTCTTTTACTGCTGCAGCTTCATAGATCCATGTCTGAGGAAGAGCTTATTTAGGAATAAAGGAGCGTCTCCCTCTTAGTTACCATGGAGATAGCATTTCATCATATAGATATGCAAACAATGTTGGGCTCATTTTCTAACCACCAACCTCTATGTTACTGTGAAAAGGATGATTATGAAATATCTCCTCAGCTTCCCCCCCTGCTGGATCTATTATTGCACCAATAACATCATTTTTAAACCTTTGCCTGAACGCTGCAGCCCCCCCCGGCACTGATCATATTACTAATCTTATTACTAATCATTCAACCGCTCGCCACCTGGTCTACATCGCCTGCCGTGTGACTGTTTAATTTCCCATCCAAATATCTTTATGCCAGCTTCATGGATCTCTTTTTTTTTTTATCACACCAGCTAATTTTAGCTTCCTATTGTTATAAACGTCCAATAATGGCCTTTTTGTGAGAACGTTTCCCTTTCATACCAGTGTTGGTCCCATGGTTGTCAGCTCCTTTGATTTTAGTTAAAATCCACAGAAAGAAAATGAATCTGACCTAAAGTAGCTCCTCCTAGACATGTAATATTAGAGTTTTTTAAGTGTCAAAAACTCTGGAAAAAAAAAAGTATAAAGCTTTTTCTGAACGATTAACCAAATCCTCTGGAGTTCACAGTTTAACGTTTATTTTTTACGATGAACTTTCACAACAAACTCAGAGGTTCTTGCTCAAACATCTCATCCATTTGGTCGCTTCAGTAAAACAAACAGCTTTTCTAACAAACCATTTGGTGCCCCCCGCCCCCTCTGTTCTCCACATGTTCTAACTCTGCCGTATAACTGGAGCTTAGAATCAGAATGAAGCAGAGAGAAGAAAAGTTGTCCTAATGTCCTCCAGCAGACTAAGCCTATAGCAGCAGAACCCAGGAAGTGGTTTATATGATGTAACTTTCTCAATAGATAAATACGCCCACACTGTGGAGTGTTACTGTCTTTTTTTCCCTTCTTTAAAAAAATAATCTTGGAAGGAGGTTAGTAGCCTTCAAAATAAGGAAATGTGCTTTTTATTGTCCGATTAATGTAAAATGCATAAAACAAGAATTTCACACAGTATGTTGAATAGACCAGATTCATGTAAACAGATCTATAGAATCAACAAACCTCCAGCTACTGATGTAAAACTCTGTTTTAAAGGAAAAGTTCAGTCAGCAAGAATGATCGATGGATCTTTATTTCTACCTAAAACTAATACGTTTGCGATGATTTAATGAATTTAGCGTTAATGAGTAAAGAAATAATATTTTTAGTAGCGATCACTGAGTCTGGGAGCGGCCATTTTTGCCCAAATCTAGTAGCCCCTCCCTCCTGACATCTTCCGGCAGTGACGTCACTAACCAGTAGGTGGCAGTAGTGTTCTTTGACAAACATGGATGCCTCCAGTAAAGCACATTCACATGAAAATTACTCTGAATTAAAAACACTGATCATTTATTGAACAGGATGGAATCATTTCAGATTTAAAGAACTTTCAGAAGTTTGGATTCTGAATATGAGCGACTTTTCCTTTATAGAACAGGAGCTGACAGTGCAGTAAATTAGTCACGCATGCAGTGATGTACGCCCAACCTGTGGCAGTAGCATATTTATTTCTTAAAGACATTTTTAAGCATGTCTGTGCTGATCTTTGTAGCAGTCACTGTATTTAGATGTTTACCACCAAAAATGACACAACCTGCACTTTAAAATTCATCCGAAAGTATCTGGGATGTAAGATGCTCCTGGATTTAAACCTCAGCCTGATTCCAAAAGTCTTTTACTCTTTTAAAAAGCTTCAGTCTACGTCTGACCAGTTTATGTCCTCCAGTTTTCACCTTTTACAGTATCAGTGTCAGTTTTACGACAATATTAGAGGTTTATAGAGCTATGAATGCAGAAACAGAAGGATGTTAAAATAAAGATATATATATCTATGGTGGAGTAAAAACATGCTTAAATGTTGTGGTCTAAATCAGTACGAAACAGAAATAAAAACATCTTTTAAAAATGTTGGTGTGAATAATTATAAAACAATAAAAAAGGTTGCAGTGGAAATACGGAACAAAAGAAAAAAAACACGCAATAAATACACAAACCCAAAATAAAGATTAAAAAAATGTATAACTGAAAACAAGCCAGTTAAAAATAAGTCTGCATAAATGCAAAACGAGTAAAAATAAAAGTGGAACTAAAAATCTATATTTTTAGATGAATAATTGATCAATTGTTGAAGGAATATTTTAATTATTTTGTCACATTTAATTGAAACACAAGTTCAAACAATTTTATTATATTACGTCCTTCATTTATTTCTGAATGTATTTTTAATTATGGCAGGATTGGTCCTCCATATTACAGACACCCTGTCGACTTTTAAGGCTAGGCTTAAAACTTTCCTTTTTGGTTGGTTGACAGTTGCCTTTTGTATCTATGCTTCTTTTTCTATGTCTGCTTCTGTCTCCTTGAACCCCAGTGGGCCTCAGCAGATGGCCGCTCACACTGAGCCTGGTTCTGCTGGAGGTTTCTTCCTGTTCAAAGGGAGTTTTTCCTCTCCACTGTCGCTACAAGCATGCTTAGTGTGAGGGATTGCTGAAGAGTCAATGAGTCGATGCAATCAGCTGGTTTTCCTTAGATAGAAAACTTTGAATCAATCTGACTGGATGATCTGGTGAACTGGAAAGTGACCTGATGTGAAAAGTATCGGCCGTCATATCAGGGCAACCGCAATGTTTACATCATGTGGCAACGTTCAGCCAATCATGTTGCGTGTCGTCCCTGACATGAAGCAGATCTGGTTGCTGCTGTGGTCTAACATGTATTCCACTGTGTGAAGCAGTAGAGACTGAGAGGCAATGCGTGATGAAGAACACGGGTTTATTTTACGTCTGACGACGCAGAGACGAACTGTCAGTGAGGCTCTACCGGCGGCATATATAGAAACTTCTGGTTACTCCTAAGAAAAAACAACTTCAGTCCATCAAGGACGTAGATCTTTCACTAACCAGATGAAACATTTCACAGCAGCTGTCTTCCTTTCAGGCCATGAGGGAGGCTGAGGAAGCATTAAGCGCTGATTCTCATCTCTCAGCCCTGAGAACAGACGTGTTCATCATGTCTCCCCTGTAATGCGCAGCATGTCTGCCTTTCAGGCTGCAGTGTGTCAGGAGCCAGGAAGCAGCGCTCTGGGCTGGAGGGAGGACAGAGGGACATCAGCCCACGGTTGGGAGGACGGCAACGACGCCTGCAACAGCCACGTTCTGGCTCTGACCTCCCGGTACTCACACATCCATCCATCCATCATCCTTCTCTTGATGTTTACAACTAACTGACTGATCTCATCCCTGAGGATCAGACTCCGTACGGAGAAAATAAATTTCCGCTGCTTCTTTCTGGCATCTTGTTCCTTCCAAAGTGCTATGAACGTAGATCTACCATTAAATAGAAAACTGCCTGTTGATCCTCAGCTGCATCTTTCCCCCCGTTCATTAAAAAAGCCCAGAGATACTTAAACTGTTTGTGAAAGTCCATCTTTTCTAGGTTTATTTTAATAGATCTGTTCCTGTTTCTGCTCTAGACTGCACACGCAGATGAATCTCCAGCTCTGCTTCATCAACGACAGTGAAAGTGAGGAAGAGGAGGAGGCCGAAGGGGGAAAGGAAGCGTGCAACAAGAAGAGCGGCAACTCAGAGGTAACAGTTCTGCAGCCTGATCCGGTTCTACAGAACCGTCGGTCTCTTTCCCTTTAAAGCTTCCGTTTGTTTTTCTCTCTGCTGCCAGAAAAGAACGACACCGAGTCAGAAGAACATCCAGAACCCTGCCGGGCCCCAAGAGCCGCGCTCCAGAGGATTCAGGAACACTCTGAGGAACCTTCGAGATCGACTGAAAACCGACCACAGAAAAAAGGTCAATTGAATATTTATATAGATATATGTGGGATAGAAACCATGATGCTACGTTCACACGGTGATTTCAGCAGCTGAGAAGCTTCTGCTGCTTTATGTCTGTTCTACATTAAGATCAGACAGTAAAGTTCTTCCAGATGCTTCTGCTGCTCCTGTGTTCGATGCCAGAGAGCAGCTTTGCTATATTAGCTGTGATCAGCGGGTAGAAAGTAGTTAGAATCTATGTTGAAGTGAGAAAGTCCTCCTGAAAACATGGTCTGTGCAGTCAGTTCATCCAGATTACCATCCTGCCTTCAAAGATTATTTCTCTGTGGGAGCCGCTCAGACCCCCACATACCGGCGCTGCGCTGTCACTGGGAATCCCCAGCAGCAGCTGCCTCAGGCCCGGGAGCCTCTCCAGGGTTTTCCCCTCCTGTTGGTGGCGCTGCAGCTACCAGATCTGCTTCATCCAGTGACGTTACATGATGTAAAACATCGTGGTTGCCCAGACAACGATAATAACACCATGCAGCATCCGCATGTAGAATCTGTATCTGTAGCGTTAGCGTGTCTAACACTACAGAAGGGGGGGACCCGTTCATCCGTTTCTATTTGCATGTTTTCTAAAGTAAAACCATAGGGATGCAGGATATTGGGATTTTGGCCGATATCCGATATTTTAAAACTCATGTAGCCGATATATCAACATATAAAAATATGGCAACATTTGGTGAATTTTCGGGGGATTTCGTAGCATAACGATGACATATAGCAATATTTCATTAGTAAAAGAGATTGATATGGTGTTTTTAAATGGCAATATATCAGCATATGAAGATATTGGGATATTTTAATGTAGCAATATTTTTTCCCTCGTCTTTAGAAGTTTTTAAGTCTGTAAAAAAGAAGTTTTTGAGGAAGAAGAAGAAGTAGTATTTTTATTTATTTTTTAGACTTTAGAAACTCAGAAGCTGATCAAATATCGGGTTAAATATCGGTGGGGTGGCCGATGTCCGATATTCAGTTTTAAGGCCGATACCGATAGGGGGCCCATTATATCGTGCATCCCTATAAAACCAGGCTTTGTTGGGCTGCTGGATAAAACCTTGAACTCTATGATATTTCTGACATTTAGAATTCAAAAATCTTCCTGGATGGAAGAGAAACGTCTTGAAATTTGGAAACAAAGTCCAGAGGATTGATTTGAACTTTTTTAGAAAGACTCTGACCTGGATGACTGAGAATCTGCACCAGGTTGTTCCTAAATAATGTCTGGGACACATTAAAGCAGTTTATTAGAAAGAAAATGTTGTTTTTGGTCATTTATTTTTAAATGATTGTTCTGCTGTCAGGCTCTTCCTGCATTAATGTAGCTGCGTCTTTGTTTGGGAAATCAGCTCCACTGCTGCTACGCTGTGGCCCCTGCGGCCCCCGTACAGCGGAGGGTCAGAGACCCAGCAGCAGGTCACAGCGTTCCATTTAAACCTCCGAGGCTTTAGCGCCAAAGTTTGATTTATTAATTTTCTTCTGCAGACGGTATCCTGTGGGGAACCTGCAGCGCCGCGGAAACGCTGGGAGCTCCGTGATTTGGAGAATCTGAGCCTCAAGCAGCTGAATTCAATCTGCGCGTCTCTGAGAAACAACATTCAAGGTAGGGAGAGTTTTCCCTCACGCAGCCGAAGGCCTGGAGGTATTTAGAGGTTTGGGTTGAACTTGTATCCCTGACAGACCTGAGCTCGGAGTTGGTGAGTCGCCTCCATGTCCGGGACCAGCTGAGGACGGAGCAGGACGCCATGCTGCTGGAGGTGCAGGACCTGACCTCCCTGTGATCCCTGCCTCCCTGTTTGGGTTTGCACGCATCCAGGGTCGGCGGAGCCTCCTGAACCCCGCCGAGGATGCAGACTCCTACCGCCGCGCCGTGGTTACCGACGTGTAAACTGGTGACTCATCGGCAGCGGCGCACAGACTGACCTCTACGACCTCCGCTAACCGTTTAACACTAGAACTCCCACAGCCGTCATTTGGACGGTTCTGAGATTTTAAAGGGAAAGAACTTTATTTCCATTAATTACATGTTGCTCATGTTTTCCTGTTTCTATATTTCCTTCAATTTCACCTAATTTTTTTTTAATTAAAAAGTAAAAAATCAATCTGGTTAATTTTACCTCGCTCTCCCACAGCCGTCATTTTGGCGGCTCTATTGGTTGATTGACGTTCGGTACGGAGGAGGATTAGGGCCACTGAAAAAATTTTTAAAAAGTTCACTGATTTTTACATTTTATTTCAGTTTAAGTCAGAATTCTGACTTTTTTCCAATAATTTACTGAAAAAGAATTTAGATATCAGTTAACTTTTTTTTTTTTCCAGTGGCTTTAATCCTGTCCCGTACCGTTGCCTAGCAACCAACATTCTACCTAGAACTCTTTGGCTAATATGGAAAAAATGTCTTTCAGAGCAAATCTAACTGCGAAACAGGCTTAAAAAATGCTTCCAAATATTGATGATAGCGGCTCAGATTCTGACAGCGAGTCGGATCAACGCAGACGTATCAGTGACGCAGAGATTTTATCCTTGAACCGGTAAAACAGTCGCTTGTCGGCCACATGAGCTCCGCAGGTTAGCAGCCCCTCCCCCGCAGTACAGCCAGCGCTGGCGAGGCAGAGAAAACATGGCCTGCACAAAACAACGCTCATGTTTGTCATAAATGTGAAAAGTTCTGCGGGAAATATTTGGGAGAATCGATCAACTTCTGTAAATAAAATTATAATTTCAAACTATAAACCTGTGTATTAAAATAGGCTCATTTTTACTGATTTATTTTTAATTAGATACAGCCTTTGAAAAATATATATTAGACCTGTTTTATGACATCATCCCTACTCATGCGTTCCATTGGGGAAAATGTCCGCCGTCAAATTAACGGCCAGCGGGAGTCGTAGCGTTAAACGCATCGATAAGAAAATCAAAGACGTCACTTCTGACCTCTGATGATGATGATGATGATTATTGGACCTTTAAAAGCCCGGTCTCTGTAGATGCCGGCTCTAGCCGCCATTTTTTTTGTTTACAGGAATCTTAACTTGGTGTTTTATATTTAAGATCCTTCAGAAAATGTCTTAAATTTCAAGTTCAATCATTTTTAGAAAGAAATGAAGTTCAGTCTGACCTCCTTTCATACCACCTTTCCTCATCAGGGTACTATGGAGCAATTATATGCAATCATGTTATTTATTATTTCATTTAATAACCTTCAGGATCACAGTTTCTCCTAACTCTTCACACATGGAATACATTCAATTTAGAAGAATTTATTAACAAAAATGATTCAACTAAAAGTCAAACATGTTTCAGTTAAAAACTCCTAAAGGAAAAGTCTCTCATATTCAGAATTCTCTTTATTAATTATAAATAACTCTTTTTTTTTTTTTCACTTTTACCCGATGTATTCCAGCATCCAGCTGCCATGCACGTGGGCATTGTCAGTTTCACTATAGCTCTGGTGAATTTCAATCTGGAAATATTATACATATTACATACACTACAGTGACGTGCGGTCAGGGGAGGCAGGTGAGGCAGTGCCTCACCAGCCATCATGGAAAGAAAGAAAATATATAATCATAAAGTAATTTAAATTGTTATATTCATCCGGTGGTTTGTACTAAAAAATATTCATTTTTCATGTAGCTTCACCAATTTCGATTTTTATTTGTTCAAAATCGCTGAATTTTCTTATTTTCCCATTCAAATGCTTGGAAGCGATGCCGGTGAGGCAGCAGCGAGCTCTGCCTCACCTTGGATTGCGCAACCCCTGGCTCTGCGCTGGCTGCAAAGCGGAGAGAGCATGTTGCTGTACGGCGTCAATAAAATGGTTTAAACAAATGTAATATGTGAACTTATTTCTAATAATTTGGCTTATGTATATAATGTACCGAGCTTTTTGTCACCAACTGTGTTTGTGTAACGTGTTTCGTGTAATGAGCGATTATAAACGGCAGAGAACAAGTTCGAGGTGAGGCAGGCAGTTCTCTTGCCTCATGGCAGGGGGTGCTCAAGAGACTGAAAACATAAGGCAGGAACAGGACGGATCAAGGAAGGCTTTCTTCCCTGGCAGTGATCTCCATTGAGACAGAGAGACTTTTAAAACTGAAGGAAGATAAGGAGGACTTCTATTCATTTATAAGTAAAGGTAAGACAGTAATAACATTTATTTTGTTTTGTTTTTTAAGGAAATGTGTGTTTTGTGAGCTACAGTTTGTATGTGTAAGGATGCAGAAGTGAAACATAACCTGTAAACTGCTGTCAATCTATGCATCTATTTGCAAATCTGATTCTGATGACGTCAGTGCCTCACCAGCTATGAACCTCACCGCACGTCACTGATACACTATATTGCCAAAAGTATTTGCTCACCTGCCTTGACTCACATATGAGCTTAAGTGACATCCCGTTCCTAATCCATAGGGTTCAATATGACGTCGGTCCACCCTTTGCAGCTAGAACAGCTTCAACTCTTCTGGGAAGGCTGTCCACAAGGTTTAGGAGTGTGTTTATGGGAATTTTTGACCATTCTTCCAGAAGCGCATTTGTGAGGTCGCACACTGATGTTGGACGAGAAGGCCTGGCTCTCAGTCTCCGCTCTAATTCATCCCAAAGGTGTTCTATCGGGTTGAGGTCAGGACTCTGTGCAGGCCAGTCAAGTTCATCCACACCAGACTCTGTCATCCATGTCTTTATGGACCTTGCTTTGTGCACTGGTGCACAGTCATGTTGGAAGAGGAAGGGGCCAGCTCCAAACTGTTCCCACAAAGTTGGGAGCATGGAATTGTCCAAAATGTCTTGGTATGCTGAAGCATTCAGAGTTCCTTTCACTGGAACTAAGGGGCCAAGCCCAGCTCCTGAAAAACAACCTCACACCATAATCCCCCCTCCACCAAACTTTACACTTGGCACAATGCAGTCAGACAAGTACCGTTCTCCTGGCAACCGCCAAACCCAGACCCGTCCATCAGATTGCCAGATGGAGAAGCGCGATTCGTCACTCCAGAGAACGCGTCTCCACTGCTCTAGAGTCCAGTGGCGGCGTGCTTTACACCACCGCATCCGACGCTTTGCATTGCACTTGGTGATGTATGGCTTGGATGCAGCTGCTCGACCATGGAAACCCATTCCATGAAGCTCTCTGCGCACTGTTCTTGAGCTAATCTGAAGGCCACATGAAGTTTGGAGGTCTGTAGTGATTGACTCTGCAGAAAGTTGGCGACCTCTTCGCACTATGCGCGTCAGCATCCGCTGACCCCGCTCCGTCAGTTTACGTGGCCTACCACTTCGTGGCTGAGTTGCTGTCGTTCCCAAACACTTCCATTTTCTTATAATACAGCTGACAGTTGACTGTGGAATATTTAGGAGCGAGGAAATTTCACGACTGGATTTGTTGCACAGGTGGCATCCTATCACAGTTCCACGCTGGAATTCACTGAGCTCCTGAGAGCGACCCATTCTTTCACAAATGTTTGTAAAAACAGTCTGCATGCCTAGGTGCTTGAATTTATACACCTGTGGCCATGGAAGTGATTGGAACACCTGATTCCAATAATTTGGATGGGTGAGCAAATACTTTTGGCAATATAGTGTATTTAAATGTCAAATCATTCTGGTTTAAACATGTATATAAATGTACTCTTCATCAGACAGAGTGCATTTATATATCATATATATTGTCCCTAAATTTAGAAAATTTCTCTTTAAAAAAAAATCCTTTTTTCCGTTATCTTCTGCAGGCAAGTTAGTTAAACATCTTGATTCATGTGTCGCAGCTAATACATGCAACGGTTGAAATAAGAATAATTAACTGGCAGCGTTGCGAGCGCTCAAACATGTACGGCTGGAAGCCTTCTACACCAAACCAAGCTTCTGCCGCCCTGGCGTCCTCTTCCACAACATCTTCGTCCCCGCTTTCCTCCTCTAAATAAAAAATGGATGACGGAGGAGACTCATCCACGACCTCCGACACTAAACTCTCCTCCTCTTGCATGTTTCCGCTGTCCATAGCGTTCCTTAACAGCGTCGTTTCTAAGTCACCAATTTAGTGCTACTTGGTCCCAATGGAATTTCCCATTGGGAACCTGCTAGCGCTAAGTTGCTAACTGCTTAGCAAGATTTTTCCGACAAACCGGCCACAACCAAACTTGCTTGCGAACCTGATCTAACTTACCAGGTGTGCATCTGTAAAAAGAGAAGAGCAGGAAAGGTTAGTTTCCTCTCATCATTTTGCAGACCTTATGCTAATCATCAGAGTGTGGAAAAATCCTGGGAGGAGATTCAAAATAATTTACTTACCACCAGCATGTGACAAATCAACCCTGAAACAGACTGCAGGCTCAGTTTATTTAGCACGTTTCACCATTTTTGTACCATTTGCACCAGCAATCTTAGATCCAAACCAGCAACACCCCAAGCAATTGCAGCTGTGATTTTGGACTCCTGATTCTGGATTCTAGGTCAGGCTAATCCTTGGCGGTTTTTAAGTAAATTCTACTTTAGCAGACATTAAAATCTGAAAAGAGCTCAAAGGGAGAAAGAAACTGGCATCTGAGTAGAGAATCAGTATCTTTCATTAGGAGCGGCCTCAGTGTGTCATTAAAAAGAATAGAAATCAGAGCTGAACTAACCTCTGAAAGCACTTTCAGTTGCAGAGCTCCATCTCAGTAGTTTACAGCAGAACTCCTGTCGGTTCTGGACTCTTATTAGTAGTTTTAAAGATAGAAATGTTTATTTACTTATTTTTTTAACTAAAAAGAAGAAAGTCTTTCCAAAACTTTTATCATCTAGGATTTGATTATTTTTTATTAAATATTGCTGTTAACATGTTAAACTGATTACTTTTTCTACATGGATGTTTTTGTAATGCATTTTAAAAAGTGACATTAAAAACCACAAAGATGAGCTTCTTTTTCCATTTATTCATTTAGTTTAGCCTGTTCATAACAAACATCCAATTGAACACAATATCATCAGCATAAAAATAATAAATGTTTTTTCTGCGTAACTTTAAGGCAGGATGCTCCTATATTCTGGCAGCATTGATCAGGTTGGAGAGCTTCTTTTAGACCGAGTCTGAAGGATCATTTATTGCCATGTAGCATATCTGTAGCATTCAGATGTTGTTTCTGGGTTAGCCATAAACTAATCTTGTTCATAACTAAACAGGTTAGCCATAAGCTAATCCTGTTCATGACTAAACAGGTTAGCCATAAGGTAATTCTGTTCATAACTAAACAGGTTAGCCATAAGATAATCTTGTTCATAACTAATCAGGGTAGCCATAAGCTAATGCTGTTCATAACTAAACAGGTTAGCCATAAGCTAATCCTGTTCATAACTCAACAGGTTAGCCATAAGCTAATCCTGTTCATAACTAAACAGCTTAGCCATAACCTAATCTTGTTCTTAACTAAACAGGTTAGCAATAAGCTAATGCTGTTCATAACTAAACAGGTTAGCCATAAGCTAATCTTATTCATAGCTAAACAGGGTAGCAATAAGCTAATCCTGTTCATAACTAAACAGGTTAGCCATAAGCTAATCCTGTTCATAACTAAACGGTTAGCCATAAGCTAATTCTTTTCATAGCTAAACAGGTTAGCCATAGGCTAATGCTGTTCATAACTAAACAGGTTAGCAATAAGCTAATCTTGTTCATAACTAAACAGGTTAGCCATAAGCTAATCTTATTCATAGCTAAACAGGTTAGCCATAAGCTAATCTTGTTCATAACTAAACAGGGTAGCCATAAGCTAATGCTTTTCATAACTAAACAGGTTAGCCATAAGCTAATCCTGTTCATAACTAAACAGCTTAGCCATAACCTAATCTTGTTCTTAACTAAACAGGTTAGCCATAAGCTAATCTTATTCATAGCTAAACAGGGTAGCAATAAGCTAATCCTGTTCATAACTAAACAGGTTGGCCATAAGCTAATCCTGTTCATAACTAAACGGTTAGCCATAAGCTAATTCTTTTCATAGCTAAACAGGTTAGCCATAGGCTAATGCTGTTCATAACTAAACAGGTTAGCAATAAGCTAATCTTGTTCATAACTAAACAGGTTAGCCATAAGCTAATCTTATTCATAGCTAAACAGGTTAGCCATAAGCTAATCTTGTTCATAACTAAACAGGGTAGCCATAAGCTAATGCTGTTCATAACTAAACAGGTTAGCCATAAGCTAATCCTGTTCATAACTAAACAGCTTAGCCATAACCTAATCTTGTTCTTAACTAAACAGGTTAGCCATAAGCTAATCTTATTCATAACTAAACAGGGTAGCAATAAGCTAATCTTGTTCATAACTAAACAGGTTAGCCATAAGCTAATCTTATTCATAGCTAAACAGGTTAGCCATAAG